ACTACTGGGGGATAAAATCCCCAAAGTCCAAACTTTTATTTTTTGTCTCATAATATAGTTGTTTTTCCTCCACCCCTACAGATAAGAATGAAGATGTCTTGGAAAGAACAAAAGTTAAAAACCTTGGAGCCTCCAGAGAATGCAGCTATTGTGGAAAATATTTCCGCTCAAATTATTACCTCAATATTCATCTCCGAACTCATACAGGTAAAAGAGATTACTCTTTGGGGGGACAGTATCTTCTTAATTGAAACCAAGGGAAATAATTTGCTTCTGAGTAAGAATAAATATCTTCTTTGCTGATAGAATGCTAATTTTAAGATATAAAATATCTCTAGTGCTATGTTGGAAATGCAAAAAGCAGAAATGTTACACTTTTAATACTGCTTTTAGTAAGCTGGGTGTAATACTTCTAGGACACTGATTCACAGTTATATCCTGCTTGTTGCTCTGTCTGGTTTTAATGCTGTGTTAACAACCAAGAATGGGTGACTTCCAGATATGGTGGTAAAAAGTACATTTGCTAACTGCATGGAAGAATCTGCTCCTATTTTAATAGATTTATTTATTTTCTGTATCTTCTCCATACTTGTTCCCTTTCAAAAATCTCTTCTAATCAAGATTCTTTGGGTAAAACTGATATTTTTTTTTATTAGACCAACTCAAATAGTTGGAAAAATTCTATTAGATTTACCCAAAGAACCTTGTCCGCTTATGTTCTTAAGGGTATAGGTTGTAGCCATGTTGGTCTGCCTTCCTGTCAATGCATTTAATGGACTTCAGTTGTTCTTTATTCTCAACTGGTTCTAGTATTAGCATGATTTTTAAAGCCATTCACAGCTTTTGAACAATATATGTTGTTGGCATAGTCAAGAATCACAGGTTGCTGGTTTGGAGATGTTCCCCAGTCTTATTTGCAAACTGCCACCTTTACAATGCCTGAACATGTTTGGAAAAAAATTTAGTCCCAGCCAGGATAAATCACACACTAGTTATTTTTTTGTTAGCTGCAGTTACTTTGGGGGAGGGACACAGATTTGTTGGCCTGCATAAATAGTGTGTGTTTTGGAAAGGGAGAAAATAAAAGCCTGCTTATCTCTTTAGTTCTGGGAATTCTTTATAAACAAACCACCAGAAAAATCATGATGATGTTTTTGAATTGCTGTGCATCACACTTACTCTGACACAACCTATGTTTCAGGTGAGAAACCATACAAATGTGAATTTTGTGAGTATGCAGCAGCCCAGAAAACTTCATTAAGGTATCATTTAGAGAGGCATCACAAGGACAAGCAGGCTGATATTGCAACAGATGTGAAAAATGATAGCAAAGTTTCGTTACAAAGTCAGGAGACAGATCTTTTGCTGGCTGCTGATGGTGCTCAAGAAACCAAAAATTTGAAAAGGTGTATCGATGGTGCCAAAGATGCTGAAGGCTGCCCATCTGTAAAGCAACACAAAGGGATCGCTTCCTTTCAGAGTGTACTGGGCAGTACAGTCTGTTTGACCATGAAAAATGATACTCAGGAATCAAACAAAGGTGCAAATTGTAATAGCTCAAATCAAATGAATGAGAATGCATCCAGTCCTTCTCTGGAAAAGATAAAAGCAGAGAACAAAGCAGTGGAGTCCCAGACACGTGATCTTTATAAAAGAGGGAAAGAGACTCCTGAGGCATCAGAAGATGATGTCCAGTACGTTCGTGCTTTAAAGAATGGAAATAACATGGATGAAATACAAGGAAACACAGAAAACTGCAAATATAAACATACAGTGGACTCTCAAGAAAAGCCATTAAATTTATCTCTTGGGACTTCACAAGAATGTTCAGTGATCTCAACTAGAGGCTTGTTAGCAACCAGCACCTGTCCATTTTGTACTTACCGAACTTTTTATCCAGAGGTCTTAATGATGCACCAGAGGCTGATGCACAAGTACAATCCTGATGCTGTTAACAAAAATGGTTACAGAAATAAGGCTGTGGCCAGAGCCAGACGTACTGGGTGCCCTCCAGCCCTTCTTGGTAAAGATGTGCTTCCCCTGTCATTTAATTCTAGTAAAAGGAAGGCTTCCCTGTCTACTCAGCCAAAATTATTGCAAACAGGAAAGGCTAAACAGTGTCCCTGTCTACAGAGCAAAGTCCCTGTGTTTCCATCAACTGACTCCAGCAGTTCTGCTCCAAGTAACTTGAAGGCTTATAAACCACAGAATAATATTGGAGCTCAGGCGAGTAGCTATAGACCACCACAGCAGGAAATGCACTCAAATCCTAGTATCTCTTCTGCAGTGGACAGGATGAAAAGGCCTGAATTGAGAGTAAAAGCTCCAAGTATCTCAGCCTCTCAACCTGTAAGCAGCAGTGTCAGTGGCTCACTTGACTGTCCCCTTAGCGAATCTGCCTGGCCCAGTCATCGAGGAAGGGATTATCTCTGTAATAGATCAGCAGGTAACATAAACTTAGAATATGGAGAGCCATCTTCTAAAAGAGCAAAACCTAATCTGTTAAGTACTGAACACATTGATTCTGCAGTGGCCAATTACAGAAGATATGGAATGAACCGATTTCGTGTTGCAAACAGATATGCAAATATGTTACCTCAGGAATGCTCTCACACCAAACCTGCATCCCCTGTTTTGCCAACCAAACAAGGGCTTCTGAACTCAGATGAAGTTGAGTCTCCTAATGTACTGACTGTTCTAAAACCCTATGAGCCATATAGTCCTGCATCACTTTACAGTTTTTGTGGACCTAGCAATGGCCAAGCAACTAGCTCTTCAATAGAAGGTACTGTATTTTCATTTATCTCAAATAGTAATGTGGCACTAAAAATATAAGTTTTTTTCTACTGCTAAGCTAAACAATTCTAATAATATGACGTGCATCGCACCAGCAAATATTAGTGATGCAAACTGGAGTTTGTCATCTTTTCTTTTCCTCCTTCTCATTTGTTTATTACTAACTTAGAGTCACAGGAAGTATTAAATGTTAAGCAAAACTTGCTTAGAAAGTAAGTTGCCTTTAGAACCCTGCTAATAACTGCAGCAAATTTGTTAGGACTGCATAAATTAAGAAAGACCCAGCCCTTTAAAGGCATATAGTGCTTAACACCCATTGATTTCAATGAGAGTTAGTGTTTAGGTACCTTTATATGGATGTGGGCCTCTGTTACTAAGGGCTGTTGCAAATCTGTGGTTTTGGGGTTTTTTTTAGTTAACTGCATTATTGTTAATACTTAAAGCATATAGGGTAGTGAGCTAAATTAACATGTATTTCCATAGTTTTTCATAACAGTGATAATGCTAAATGCTAACCATGGATACCATTTGCAAAGAAATGTTGAATGGCAGGACATGCAACGAAGTGAGCAGGGGAACCACACACAACATAAACTGAGTCTCATAAAACTGATGCAGAACATACTTTTTTAGTCAGTCGAGTAACTGTGTGATTTTTTTTTTCTATTTTTGTTTTTTTGTTTTTGTATGCTTGTGTGCTTTCTTAGAGACATTAAGGAGCTGAAGTGTAGTATTTGGTCACTTTCTCTTTGTTTTCTCAGACTTATAAATCCCAAAGATGGAGATAATGCTGAGAAGATGGGTCAATTACTTTTACTTAGGAACCTTTAAAAAAACATTTTAGACATCTGAATAATTTTCATAGAAATATTCACTATGTTCCATAATCCACTAAACCACTTTAATACATGTTTAGACGGATGGCAAATAGATAGACGTGCTCAAGTACTCTTAAAATGTTGTCATTTCTAGCTAGTATTGAAATAATAGTAAGTGTGTGGATGAAAATACTAGAACTGCATTTAGATGGTGAAGAAGTTAATGGTTGATTGTGTATATACTATGTCGTCATCTTTTTCTTTCTCGTCCCTACCCTTCCAGATTAACAGGGTATGTAAAACCAAAGTCTTGACTGTGGTTTTACAGGAATATGAGAAGTTGGGGATATATTTTGCATTTAGTTGTGTGAAGGGTAGAAAATAGTCTCTTCCTAGTTATATAGGGAATATCATCTATATATTAGCATGGGTCACCAGGGTTGGACTTGAGATTCACATGCAGTTGTAGTCATTGGCACCTGTGGGCTCTTTTTAAAATCTGCAGCTTGCAGCTGAGGATATTTTTAAAGACCATTACTCTGTAGTTCCTGTGTTTTCAAGGCACTGTTTCTCCCTTCCCTAAATAGATGTTTTAGTTATAAGTACTTTGGTGAAAACCAAATGTAGATTGTGTAGGCCAGTGCAACTGACATGACATTCATAAATAACAAAAAAATATGCTTTTGAAAACTTTCTTCTTTGTTCCCGTCTCCTCAAAGTTTCAGTTGCTATTCATGAATGCCATTCCAGCAAGAAAATCTAAATGGATTTGTCAATTTTGAGCTTGGTGCAGGGGAGGAGTTAAGGGGTTCCTGTACGTGAGCACAGAGGCTGCTCTGATGCACTGTAAGTACAGCGATTTGAGGAGCAGCTAAAGCATGGCAATTACTGAGCTCCAGCAGCCTCCCACATCTTGTGTAGCAGCGTCCCTGTGCTTCAGAATGGCAGCAGGGGCACTTGAACTAAAGCTCATTGAATGAGGTATAGTTTTAGTGCCCTTGCCACCATTTTGAAGCACAAGGACACCTGATACACAAGATGCTGCAGTGCTTTAATTAGGGTGCTCTAATTAGTGCCACCCTCCTCCCCTGAGCATGTGTAAATGTGCCCAAGAGAGAGGAGACAGCCATATTGTGATTAGATGCGTCTTAATGAGGCTGAAAGAAGGTGAAAGGCTCTAAACATTTTTTCTCTCCTTTGGTGAAAATAAATATATAGATCTGCTTATGATTTGCTCTAGGAGTTACAGTTTTTAAGGAATATATTTTAGAAAGTAATATAAGCGGCTGTCTGCATGTCTTTTTATTTCTTCCTGATGATGTTCCTTGTGTACTTTAAAACATGATGTTAAAATTCCTTTTATGGCCTGTGTTGCCTTGTGGCAACATTATTTAGGTCTTATGAACATGTTATGTTGCATGTTAAATGCTGGATCGAGTTGTCACGAGAATATGTTCCACTTGGCAAACTTGATTAAACCCTGATGCCTTCCATTATTGCTCATAAGCTGTGCCAGTTTGTGTTGCCCTGAAGAGACAGAAACATTCTGAAACCACTCAGTTTGTGTTATTTTCAAATTAGTTCTCCCTTTCGTAGTGGCAACATTATCAAGGATAACCTGTTGACTGATTGATCTGGCAGAGACTGCAAATTAAAGACAATTGCTCATGACACACTCCAGTGATCTTGTAGATTCTGTTGAAGTATTAATTTAATTTTGCCATTGTAATTTAATTAAACCTTACTTCCCCCTCTCCATTTCCCCCCTCCACCCCCTGTCCTCACACATCCCCTTCTAAGATTTTTGTGAGATGGCAGTTGAGCTTTTCATTCATGTAGTAGTGTTTCTTGATCTTCCTAGTCTTTTTGAATTTGTCCTTGTCTTAGTAACTCTTTCCTATAACTAAACACATACAATACTGCTTTGCTTGCTGCCTTGGGAATTACCAAACAAAAATTGTCCATCAACAGCAGAAGTTGAGCCTTGGTAGATAAATAACAGAAAGTATCCCGTTATTTACTACTGTAAGGATATGAAACCCTGATTTGACAAACCACCTGTATCTTTGCTATATTATCAAATTTCTGTTTGAAGATTGCGTATAAGCATGCAGAAGTGTTGGAAGACTATGCATGCTGTTGCTCAAATAGTATTGCAAGTAGAAGGATTGCTTTTAATGTTTTGAGGTCAAAAATTCTGTGTAGGCCCAGTGAAAGAGTGCTGTGCTTATGGCAACATGGATAGCAGCTGTTTCCTTATAGGTTTATTTTGGGTTTTTGTTGTTTTGTTTTTTTTAACTGATGTGGGTCTCTTGTGCCAAAAAACCCTCTGGGTCTGTTTGAGGAAAACAAAAGGCCAGTAGAGCATTTATTTTACTTGTTTTCACCATGAATACTAAAAATGTGATGCCGCTTACTAAGTTCAGGCTTATTTCTTTAGTATCTAAAGTCCTGTTGTCCTGTACAGGGGTGGTTTGCTGTGTCAACTTCATGAGTTTCAGCAGTGGTGAATAAGCAGCAAAGGTGGTTTATGTGGAACACTTTGGGATCACTGGACAAGTAAAGAGCCTGGAATCAAATATATGATTAGCTTTATTTCCAGTGAACCTTGTTAATGTTTCGTAACTTTTACTTTTTCAGGAAGAAGGCCAGTAGCGTACCAGCACCTATCAAACAGCATGCTACAGAAACGAAATTATGAGAGTCTTATTGGCAATGCACACTTCCGACCAAATGACAAGAAAACTTGATTGTTTACTTTGTGAGAAGGTAAGAAATCCTTTTGAGTAACTAGATTTTACTTTAGCTGTTGCTGCTTTTCAAATCTAGCATCAAATCTGTTGGTACATGCAACAATGAGGTTATGCAAGTGTTTGAATTACATCAGTGAGAAGTTGAGACGACCTGGCTTTCTTTTGAGCATTAGACTTATTCCGAAAAGCTCAAGTGGCTTGTATGCTACGTAACTGATAGCAAAGATGGAGGACCTTGTTTAGATGGAAGTGCTAGCTGCTTATATATTTTCTCGTTAGAAGAAAAGGTTACAATCTTAAAATGGTTTGGTCTCAAAAAGAAATCTTTCCCTTGAACGCAGGTTTAAAAAAAAAAAAAAGGAATGACAGTTATAAATGGGAAGAGATGTTCTAGGATTTACTTACTGGTCTTAATCTTTAAAGAATCATGTCGGTGAGTCCTCTCTGGACACAAGATTATTCAGTGGACTGTCTTAATACTAAGTGACTTGGAAATTCTCAGGCAATGGAACTTTATTTTTCTGACAAGACCATTGTGCAGCAAAATGTACGGCACTTCTCAGGAAACGCTCCTTGATAGTCAACTCCCTGACATATACCCTTCATGTAACAAGCACATATGTGCTTGTTACATAAGCAAATAATAAATGTGGTTAACCAAGCTAGGCCAAGGGTTAGTCAAGTCAGTAAACTGTAACTCTGAATTTTGAGGTTCTCATGTAGCCTCAGTCAGTTTCCATAGTTTACTTTACTTCAACATTCAATCTGCGGTATAGGGCTGATTTAGTACTTTATTTTTCTCTCACATGGGGATGTGGGAATAAACTTCAAATGTGAGCGTTTAAAATCCTGATTAAAACTCCATTTTTCTCTAGTTTCTAATGCTTTTTGTTCCTTTCAGGAATTCTCTCTAATTTGAAGTAAATTCTTATTTGAATGGTGCAAAATCCAAATCTGTGCACAGTATTTTACATACGGTTTTCCACGAGAGAGTGAGAGCTGAAATCCCACTCGTAAAAAGCACTGTTCTTTATGAACAGTGTATAAAATTATTTTACCATAACTTTTATTTCTTGTCTGAGCATTTTGCCTCATTTCCGTATTTTTCAGGTTGTCTAGCTGTTTCCTATTGGTAGCTTGGCTGTTTTCGAAAGCTGACTTAAATAGCCGGTCATAATTGAATTACCAAATAAATAGCATGTACTTAGCATGCTATCGCATTAATTTGTGTATATACAATAGCTTATATTTTACATTTAAGTATATTTAACACTCTTCCTCAGCTGCTTTATTTTAATTGTATTACAGTTTATGCCACAACTATTTTTGGTTTGTTCTAGGTCTGAGGACTCAAATACATATTCTGTGGAGTTATAATTTGCAGTTCATCCCTTGAGAAAAATGAATGGTGAAAGCTACTGAACTAAGCTGTGATTGTACTGTATATAAAAACACTACAGTTTTATAATATTGGTTCTGTTAACATTTGTACCAAATAGCCATAAAAATTGTAGTCTGAACAATTGGATTATGAAGTGTGGAGAATGTATATTTCAACGTTAACCTTGAGTAATATTTTTCTTTAGAATTAATTGACCAAATATTAGGTAGGAATTTATATTTTTACATACTTGAGCTGCTGAAAAGAGATCCTCTTTGAAAAATATATAATCCTTGCACCTCAGGTAAAGTTTGTAAATACCCAAGTTGAAATCCTGTTGGTTTAAATACTGCTCCTTTTTTTCCCCCCCCCTAAAGGTTGCAGTGTCTCATATTGTGTGTGTTCTGTTAAACTATGTTAGTTTTTAAACAGCTTCCAAATGAATTATATGATCTCAAATTCTTAACATCCTAACTAAGGTGCTGACTTTCTGCTGTGCTCCTTGCCTATGCTAGGACCTTAATCTAGAAGCAAAATTTGCTTCTCTTATTGATAATTTCAACATGTTATCTGTAATAGCAAGGGAGAAGCAATATCTGTCACTTTGTCAGGCCCTTTCATAGTGTTCTTGGAATACAGACAGAATCCTCTCCTTGCATGAAGCTTGCTGATATTGGTCGAGAGCCTCTTAGATGAACATCTCCAACAACAGACAAACTTTTAGCAGAATGTACATAGGACTCGCATGAAAAATAGGAAATGTCACACTGAATAATTCAGATGTTGGATTTTTTTCTTGTTTTGTTTTTGTTTTTTTACCAAACTCAATACACTTT